CTGTGAAGGCTTTCTACAAAACTGCAGGTGTTCCAGTTCCAGTTAAGAGCATCACCTGGAGCTCCATTCTCTTGCTTTGCGGAAGGTGGATTTTCTGTTCAGGGTCCGAAGCCACTCCCTCTCTCACCTCGCCCAGTGGGAGAGGAGCCAGTCAGGAGCTGGTTACCTAGTCTCTTTACGTATAGAAGAGAAACAGGCCAGCCCCAAGGGAGAAAGGTCGGGAGGAAGGGAGCAGGGAGGGTTGCAAACCTTGCAACAGTTAAATGTTAATGTAGGTGTCGGCATAGGAAGTGTCTTCTAATGACAGAAGGAAACGAGGGAGTTTTTCAATCATCTCCTGCTTAACAGATACAGATGTATTCATAATTATCCCTTGCCTCGGGCCTTGAGGCCCAGGTGGGCTCCAGAAGGCCTGTGTTCCTGCCAGACAAGAGTCCTGAAGGAACATCATGTAGACAATTGGAATGCCATTTATCGTGCAAAACACAATAAAACCCTGAGCTCTCTTCCTGTCTCAGAGACCCATAAATTATGAAAATTATACCTGCCCCAGGCCATGGACATATTGTTTTATTAAAGTTCCGATGAATAAACTGAGGGCTCTTAAAAATGTCCTCTCAGCTTTCATCTGGCACACACCTCCAGCACGGAGCTGTCTGCCTGGGTGCATTGGACAAGCTCACAAACGCACTGGGGAGAGCTGAGCTCATCTCAAGATGCAGGTTCAGCAGGCTGCGGGGGCCACCTGGGGAGCTGTAGGAGCGGCTTGGGGCCTCCTGGCCTGAAGACCAGGGGTTCTAGTTGTCTGCCACCAGGGCTGGGACCGCCGCCCCGCACCCGCCTCCCTTTGCGGGGCCCTCCTAGGAAGTGTGTGGTTCTGGCTGTGGAGACAGTTGAAGTTCTGCTGCTTTTCCCTTTATTTTTAAATGCGACCGCTGGGGATGGAATCTTTTTTCGTCCGTCCTGTGCTGCTTCCCCAAACTGAGCTGCTAACCCTGTAACTCTCCATTTTCCCTTCTACCCCTCGACCACGTAACAGGCACGTAACACCTTCTCTGAACCTCACTTTCTGCATCTCTCAGAGGTAGCTCACAATGGTATCTGCTACGTATGTTCAGTACCTGGCAGAAAGGACCCATTCATAAAATGCTTACCATTATTACCCAAAGCCATTTCATACCTAGGACCATGGGAAACAGGGCCAGTTGAGGAAAGAAAGACAACAGAGGTACATGGGGATTTTCTCTGATTTTTTTTTAAAACAGAGGCACATGTTCCTTCAGCCCCTCTTTCCTCAGGAGCATTTGGGTGGGCGAGACTCTACACACCCAACGTCCTGCATAGGTTTTTGTTCTTTTTAATCTCTCAACGTTGGAAATGAAATAAAGCCAGGGGCAGGCCTGCCCCACATCCCCGCCTATCAGGACAACCAAGACTTAATCACAGCCTGGTACACAGTAATTGGGACCAAGATGAGGGAAAAGAAAACCATCTCGAAGTGCCGGTGACTCACCTTGTCAGTGAAGGAAAACTCCAGGATGCAGGGGTGGGACAGGCCACACGGCTTCATGCTAGAGCGGACAAGACTGCGAGGAGGTTGTCCTTTGTGTCTGCTTGGGCAGTGAACAGGAGATCCCTCGGAAGGAGTTGGGATGTCTCGAAGAGGAACCCAAGGCTTTCACGAAGACTTGGAAAACACTGTAACTGGTGAGCCCAGAGGGACCAAGAACTGGACCCAGGCTCCTGCTCTCACCTCTCGCCGCAACCCTTTTGCCCCCACCATTGCTGGTTGTCGGACCCCACTTATTGGTAACAGAAAATATCTTCAGTTATTGCTCAATTCCTTTTCTTTCAGCAAACAAGAGGCATGCGTTCACATATTCAGAAGAAAGGTCAAACTTCCCTTGTGATTGGCAGACGAATCAACAGTAATGAAGAAGTTCCCCCAGCTCCATCATCTGAGAAGGGGCTGAGTGGTGTCCGGGGATAGAGGGAAATAGATGGAGAGATGGAAGGTGCATTAGAAAGGCAGAGGCAAGTCCTGTAACAGATGGAAGCCTGCAGAGGTCAAAGGAACGCGTTTCGTGCAATGTCCACCCATCTAGTGAAAATAAGGAAACCGCCAAGGGCTTTTGTGTTTGCCGTCCAGCCTGTATGTGTCTGTCTGCGCGTGAAACTCTGTTTTAGGGGCCCCAGGGCTGCAGAATTTCTGTGTACTGGGCTGGTCAGATGAACCTCCCCCACTTCGCAGTTTTGTTGTCCATCTGTTACAAATACACCGTGGTGTAGGGGAGAGCTTGCCAGAGGAGTTAGCAGCACCTGGCAGGATTTAGCTTCATAAGAAAGTGAAGCTTTCCTCCACTGGTTCTAAGGTCATCCTAGAGTCACCACAAGGGCCAGGAAGCCCTCCCCACCCACCCCACCCCCCGCTTTGTCCCGCCAGAGCTTGGCTACTCATTTCCATTTGGCGTGTGATCTTTGACAAACTTGGCACCTTGCTGGGTGAGGACGTGGCGGGGGGCGGGGTGTGAAGACACAAACACACGAGAAACAGCAGTCCTGTGTATATTTAACAATATATATTTATATATATTTTCTAGATCAGTACATTCAGTTTTTAACTTGCTTTTTCTTCACAAACAGAAGAACTCTTACAATAGTAGACTTTCTAAAATAAATACTATTAAAATAGAGCTTCAAAATAAATATTCTATACAAAGAAAACCTTCTGTGGTAACTTTTGTTGTGGGGTGAGAAGGGGTTACAGTGAAGAGGGAAAAAATGTGCCAGGGTGGGACCCTTGGACAGCTTTTCTGTTTGTAACACGAAACCAAACGGCGGGGCAGCAAGAAGAGAAAGCAAGATAAGACACCACACGGAGTTACCCACAGCAAAAAATGGCAGCGTAAGATGTGTCTTCAACTGTCACAGTCAGCAGAGGGCAAGAAAATGCTCACCGAAGGCATGAACCAGAAGACGGGTGCAGACTGCGGGATGGGATGCCCTAGTGACTTGTACAGTGCAGAGTCGCGTGGCCCACACCCCAATGGACATCGGCTGGGGCAGCACGGGAGATCGGGAAGCTTCGCGGTGATGTAATCTGGGTGCTGGTCCCAACCCACACTTTCCAGTGGGACTCATCCTGAGCCAACTGGGCCTCGCTCCGCGTGCAACGGGGACATGCACAGACCCCAGAAGGCTGGAAGGACCAGGCGTGTCGCGTAAATTCTCCCACCTGTCAGCTGTGAAGGGCCCGTATCAACAGCAGGGACTGTGAGAAGCCTCTGTTGCACCTCGCCATCTATCTGCGAGGGCGTGGCTCTCCCAGACTCAGTTCCCAGGGTGCTTGGGCCTTCAGACCCACCCTCGAGGGAAAGTGTCTGTGGCCCCTTAGGACAGGGGTCCTGGACCCAGCCTTGTGGACCCCATCTCAGTTCCAGGCCAGGCAGAACCACCAGCCACCCCAGGTTGAACAGAAGTGGGAAGCAGCTGGCACTTTTCTAAAAAGGTCAAGACGAGGCCTCATGCAGCCAAGCAAGCCACTGGTGACAGCAAACACCATCAGCCGGAAGCCGCCCAGAAACGTGTTGTTGTTTCTGAGAGCTTGGTCCCTTCATTGGCCCTCGGCTGGTCCCCGGGGGCCACAGGCAAGCCAGTTTTCTTTTGCTTTTTTCTGCCAAGAAGCCGAGAAAAACATGCTGAGGGACTACCGTGCAACAGAGCTGGGAGAACTGAAGCTGAGTGCACGGGACACGACGGGGAGTAATGCAGACATCCATCTAGCAGGCTAAATGCGAACCAAAGAGAGAAAGCCAAAACGGGGGAAGGGAAGAAAATAAGAAACCCAAAACCCAGAAAAATCCGTGTTTACAACTATATACACAAAAAGTCAGGGTTCAGGCGGCTATTCGCCAGGAAACAGGGTCTATGTAGACAGAGACGGTGGGGTGTGTGTGTGTGTGTGTGTGTGTGTGTGTGTGTTTGTGTACACAGCTTATGTAAATCAACTCTCCACAGAATGGGCAGGTAGAACACCAAGCTCACCAAAGTGCAACTTGCCACTGGGTCAAGTTTCCCATGGAGACTTTTGAGGGAGGGGCTTTGGGAAAAGTTCTGAGGCTTCACCCAGAGTGGACGTGTGCCCTCTCTTTTGGGGCGTAACCTCCGCACATCTGTTCTGAAGAAAATATCTCCAGTCCCTTCAGCACACATCTGATACATTCAGTTAGGGTAAGTGGTTGGCTGAACGTGTGTTTCTACCATCCCCTCTGATTTGTGCAAGAGTGTCCGTACATCCATGGCGACCGTGGCAAGGGTAGCTGCGTGAATCAGCCTTAGAAAACGCAGATGCACTGTTTCGTATTTGCCTTTTACAAGCTAGCAAATGTTACATAAATAACGCCTGAAATAAAAAGACCCTCCCCTCCTTTCCTCCAGTCAATAAATACCTGTGGTTACAATTAACTTAGTCTAAATCATAAGATGTTACTACTAGTCTTCAAGAAGGAAAAAAAAAAGTCCTTGAGAAGCACTGGGTGCCTGACCATCACAGCTACCTGCCTCCTCTTTGCCTTCTTCCCGGAGGCACTTCTGTTCCTACAGAACAAACTGCAAATGCTATGAACTCTGTGCCTAGTGCCTTCCCAGTATCACCCGGGGTAGCTCTTCTGACCCAGGCCACTGTCTCTCATGGGAGGTCAGGGCAGGGGAGGCAGGCACAAAATACCACATGAAGCAAACTGCCCCCCACAATAGCTGGGGAGGAAGGACCAGACACATTACAGCTTCTGCATGCAACAAGTACCTACCCACTGGACGAGCTGCACTTTCTGAGTCCTTTAGCACCTTGAGAGAAAGAGTTGCTACGTCTTTGGGGGCTGTTGGGAGGGGCTCGTGTGGCCACACACAGAAGCAGGGCTCAATCCCAAGAAGCCCCTGGAGATTCTTTCCCCCGCCCGCACTCATTCTGACTCCCCCTCCAGGGCTTCCTGACACTAAAATAGACTTTTTTCCATCATCTGTCTATTTACATGAAAGATACAGACACGGTACACAGAAGGCTACGACAGCAAGCAGCAGAATCAGGAGAGAGGAAACCCCCACCCAGCTCGCCTCACTGTCACTCTGCCAAGGAGAGGTGCTGCCTCTCTTCACTGCTGTTAAAATCCTCTTCTTGGTGGGGAGGGGGATGGTGCTCCTTGAGGTTGCTCGCCCCCCAGATTTTGAAATCAGCCCTTCCTGGGGGTGGCCCAAAAAGAAGCAAGTGTTTTATTATTATTTTTTAACACCGTTAGCATCTGGTTTAATGATTCTATAAAAACTTAAATGACTGGATCCAGAGACCACAGCCTCAGACTCATTGGCAAAATGCTATTTGGTCTCGCGTTTGCCGCCCCCAGCCTTCTCTACCCGTAAAGTTTCTGGCAAGGATCTGGGTAGAGAGGACTTGGGACATGTAGCGGGCAGGTGAGTCTGTGCCTTGGTATGAACCGAAGGACGGTGTTATGAGTGGAACACCCCCGAGAGTTAGCGAGGAAGCTGGAAGGGAGGAAATGTATTGTACAGTGGTTCCTAAATCCATCCGTGGCTCCGGGGAGGCAGAGTGAGGAACGAGGCCGGGACTCACTGGCCGGCCTCTGTTCTCGGGGGGCTCCCACATATATACAACGGGGACCGCCAGGGTCTACACCTTCCCCACGATGTCTGAGCAAACCGGGGTGGAGGCTGGGAGGAGAAGAAGGTATAGACGTCAAGACTCCAAGGGTCTTCTTCAAAGGTTCCCTGGCCACTCAGTTACTGATTCCTCCCAGGCAGCCAAAGAGAATGAAAAAGAGCGGGGAGGGAGGGAGGGAGGGAGGAGGAGGAGGGCTGGGAGGCATTCAAAGCAGCTGCAACTTCCGGATATGTGTCCACATCTGTGTTCCATCTTCTGCAAAAGAAAAATCGCCCCCAAACCACACCACACCCCTGCCACTGTCTGTTTCACACAAAGTTCCAGGACCCTGAAAAACCCCCCAAAGTGCTGCTTCATCCTTTTGGGGAAAGAGAAGGGTGGGTGATGGTGGTCTCTGTTTCTTCGGAAGCTGGGGGTGGGGAGTGTGCAGACTAGCAAGGTCAGCCTCAGGATGCTAAAACCTCCGGTCTCGCTGCGGTGGTTATCTCAGGTGTCAGAAGGGAACCAAGTTTCCAGGGGGAATGCCGGGGCTTCGACCCCGAGTGTCAGAAAGGCTTGTCAGGTCTGCTGGCCTTGGCATCCCCGGCGGCCGCCTTGCAGATGACGCTGTTCGTGTGCTTGCAGCGGCACCCAGGGCGGCGCAGGCGGTCGTAGCCGCGTTGGGCCAGCTTCACGCAGCCGGTGGCCGGCAGGTAGCAGAGCAGGCAGGGCAGCACCAGGGAGAGGGCACCCATGAAGGACCAGCGGGCGCAGCAGTTTGAATGGGAGCAGGAGCAGGGGTGGTCGGCGCAGGAGCCCTCATCGTCCTCGTTGGTGCAGTGGTAGAAGACGCCCTGCACCAGGCACATGCAGGTGCCGTAGTTGACGAGGGTCTGGGCTGAGCACAGGCACTCCTGGTTGCAGACCCAGCAGGAGGGCAACGTCCGGGGGGACGCGCACTCCTTGCACTTGCACTTCCCGCAGGCCTCGCACAGCAAGAAGTGCTTGTCCAGCTCCAGGGGGATGGCCGGGCCCTTGAGGTCCAGCGGCTTGCAGTGGACTGCCTTGGGCTGGATGCGCACGGCCCTCGGGGAGGCCTGGTCGGCCACGGGTGGTGGGGCCATGTGGTCTAAGAGCCGCTGGTCGGAGGATGTGCTGCTGCTGCTGCTCACAGAGCTGGGGCGCCCGCTGAAGGAGATCCAGTGGTGGGTGACATCCTGGTCACAGCGGGCAGGCGTTGGGGCCAGCTCTGGGGCTCCACCCCGGGCCCGCTTGGGGCCGGTGGGGGGCGCCAGGCCAGGGTTGTCTATATAGTCGTTCTCCACATGGCTGGTCTTCATCTGGTCGATGGGGAGGATGGTGAGTGGGTGCTGCAGCCTGCTGTGGGCCATACGGCTGTCCAGAAGGGGCTGGACCATGACTGAGCTGGGAGTCAAGGGGACGGTTTGTGGGATCGGGGGCTCCATGGGGCCGAGGTCCTGGGCTGCGCCGAGAATAGGCTTCTAGGGGCCCTGGGGGAGTGGAGGAACGGAAGAGAATGGATTCCAGGCATCAGTATGTGGCCTGTTAACACCTACCCATCCCCAAACGAAATAAGAACCAGGCTCCCATCAGTGGACGCTCCAGCATTAAGGCTTAGATGATTAACAATGACAACAGCAGTAACAGTAAGTGGTAGAAATAACTTATTTAGCACTTACTATATGCTAGGGGCTCTTCTAAGCACCGTATTTATTAAGTCATTGACTTCACAATAATCCTAAAACATAACTATTATTATTATTCCTTTTCTAGTTACAGAAAACTAATGTTTCAAGTATCTTGTCCAAAGTCACACAAAACCATCAGTAGCAGAGCTAGGCTAAAACCTGGGCCGTCCGAGTTCATTCTTACAGTCTCCGTGGGACACGCTCCTGATTTCAGATATAGCGTAACAGTGCTAAACACAGGCTCTGGAATCGGATCCAAGTTCAAATTCTCACTTCTGCCTAGCAGTATTGCTGTGGATAAGGTTCTTTCACCTCTGTGCCTTAGTTTTATCATCTGTAAAATGGGTTCTGGTGAGGATTCAATGAGAAAATGCATATCCAAGACCTAGCATCTTGCCTGGCACGCAGCACGTACTCTGTAATTTATCACCATCCCAGAGAGCAAGTCTAGATTTCCTGAGCGCTAATAAGCATGACGTGCCAAGCATTGTACCTAGTGCTGAGGATGTGGTGACCAGGACAGGCAGCCTGTGTATGCTCCCATTGAGTTTATCAGCTGGATAAACAAAAGCCTTTATTTCAGATAGTCACAAGAGAAGGAAGAGCTGTATCTGATGCCTGCACGTCCAGGATATTAACTGATTACCACCACTTCTAAGAGCAGCAACCTCCAGAGGCTAATAACCCCTGGGTAGGTGCGCTTCTGACAACTTGGATGGGAAATCCTCCCGAGGGGCACTCACATCACCCATTTCCAAGTGCTGAGCTGAACATTCAGCCTAAATGCTATTTACTAGAATAGCTAAGCCAACCCTGGATCAGTTTCTAATTTCACCGAGAGAGTGCAATTTTAAGTTGGAATCCGGCCAGAGATTCAACTGCAGTGCCTGACACGGAACCCCAGGAAGTCACTTAAATCAAAGAGCGGAAACGGCTTGGTTCAAATTTAGAAAGTGCACATTGTTTTCTATTAGAAGTGCCATTTCCTTGCCTGCTGACCTTTACATTCGGAATTCGGCTGGAGATCAATTTAAAGAAATAGCAGCAGAGGCCAAGACCTCTGCCCAAGGGGACATGATTTGGAATCCCAGCGAAAGATTAGACTCTGGGAAGATTCTGCTGGTTTTGGGGGTGGGGAACAGAACAGATAACCAGGGTGCGGACAGAAGCGGAAGATGATCACCTCAAAAAAAAAAAAAAAAAGACCACTGGACTAATGTGCTGTAGGGTGGGGTTTTGGTAAATGCTTTTTCAAGTTGCTAAGGATGTTCTAATTCAGAGCTGACCCTGTACCTCTGCTGTTAGGTTAATCTCACCTCAAAGGTGATGCCTAAGATGGGGATGTGGATAGTTTTCCACTTCCAGTTCTAACCCCAAATCCCTCCAGTCATGGGACACAGCTGGTCATCCCAATATCCCAGTCACAAGAGAAGACACCTGGCTCTAGGTGACTCATCCATACTTCCCAATGTCTATAGTAAGGAAGGAAGAGGGGGAGAAGAAAAAACGGGCACGCAGGACAACTCCGTATTGTACTTCCCCTGCTTGGAAACAACAATTTGATCAGAAATGGTTAAATTGCTGAGGAAGGGTTTCCTTAGATGCTTTCCAAGCTATCTGAAATAAAGAGCTGGGGCTGATGCAAAGTTGATGCAGGGAATAAGAGGGTGCTTGTTCACAAGGTTCTCATCTAGGGGATATCATCCAGGATACTGCAAAATGCAGAAGAGGCATTAAGTCTCTTCTGTTAAGGTTCAGTGCTCAGTCAACTGGTATTTCCCCTTCACAAAAGGCATGAACTATTGACTTTGCACCCACAGCCCTGCCTACTTAAAAGATGCTGGTATTTCTGTGCATATTTCTGCCCATCTTGGAGAATGTCTGCCTGGGGGGAGCCTGCTTCCTGCCTCCATGTTCCCTCCAGCTGACAGGAGACCATCATCTTCAACGAGGAGACTTTCCCATGGCAGAGTTAGCCTTAAGAGTCTGGTAGGTCTGCCAGCAAGAAATAGTCATTTGTCAAGGCAGCCTCCTTTGGGGACCCTGGGGTCAGGGCTGGATGGGGGGTGGGCGGTGTCAGTTAAGCATTTATGGAGAGGAGTTTTTCCAAGGATCAGGCTGGCCACGGGGCAGAACTTCAGGGAATGCTACCCCAGGCCACTTATTCTTTGCGGAAGTTCCAAAGTCTGGCTTCTAGAATAATGGATTTGGGGCCAAGAGAACAGGGTTAGGAGTCCCGAGTCCCAGCCCTTTGCCTGGAGGAAAAGGTGTGACTAGGCATAAGAATGGAAAATGCTGACAGAGGCACAGGGTAAGACTCTGGCACCAGTCACGAGGTGCCTCAGCCGGAACCCCCACCCTGGACAAAGACGATGTGATTCCCTTATTCCAGAAGCTCAGGTCACAAATACTCAGGGTCCTGCCAGCAAAATGTCAGTGGCAGTTTGAAGGCAGTATTGCCCCATGTAGTTGGGCTTTTGTCTCTCAGGACCAGGACTGGGACTTGCCATGTGTGGGAAAAAATAATGGTACTCCCTCCCCCAAAGAGATTATCCACTCTCCTCCTCCCAGTTCTATTCCTGGGGTTCTTTAAAAACAGGCACACTTTCTATGGATGAAGCCAAAGACATGGGCAACGCTTGGGGATTTTAATAAGCCCTGGAACCACAGGCAGATTCAAGGAAAAAGTCCCATGGACAAGTCCCACCAGGAAGCCAGGGTGGGAGCAGCGCCTGCAGGCATCAACGATATTGGCATTAGCAGGCTCCCATCACCCAAGGCAGGGCGGGTGGGCACAGCTGTCAACATCTGGGTCCACAGTCAGGGCCAGACACGGCGGGTGGGAGCTTGGTCCGCAATGACTCAGCTCTCCTGGGACATGCTGCATCCAAGATGGTTCCAGCAGGCATATTCTCAAATGCATCTTCTCTATTATAACCGTGATGTAGGATTCCTTCCGGCCACCCGCTCAGCAAAAACCAGCAGCTGGCTCAGAGCTGTACCGCTCCAACCTTCTCGGGCCTCATGGCCTCACCTACCAATTAGCCAGACCCTTCACAGGAGGATTGAATTCATTTGGCTGACAAGAAAAACAACTTCCCAATCACCTGCTTGATAACCCCTCAGCACAGTCAAATGAAGTCTCAAAAACCCCCAAGCCTCAATGGGTTTAGAAGCTCAATCTCTACCCCCCAGGACACACCCACCCTCCAGTCTGAGCAATGCCGACGAACTTAAGTGCAGTTTAATATGTACTTTCTGCTTCCCCTGCAAGGAAGGAAGAGATTTATAATATAAATAGGAGAGAGGAGGCTTTGCCTCATTTTTGGCTGTTGGGGAGACTGATGGCCAATTTGGAAGACTATGGACAGAGAAACAAAGCCAGCACTCCACTTAGCCGGAGAAGCACCACTATCAAATTTTAGGTGGCAGCCTTGTGGGTTAGCATGAAGAAGGAAACTTTTACCTCTACGTCAACCTTCCAGTAATAATAATTAATAAGTATGGGAGCAGCTAATACTTATGAAACATTTCTTGGTGTCAAGGTTCTGTGCTAAATCTTCAATGATTTTCTCCTTTAATCCTCACCATCACCTTGAAAGATAAAACCCATTTTGCAGAGGAAGAAACGGAAGAACAAAGGGTCATAGAGTCGGCAAGTGATCAGGGTGGGATGCAAACCCAGACAGCAGAGGCTGTAACTTCAGCCCCGACTTGCAGGAACTTCTGGGTATTCATGGAAGGGCAGGAAAGCACCGTTTTCCTTCACAGCCACGAACTCCGCCAGTCTCCCCCGTCTGCCACTAGCCCTCAGGGAACCTCACTAGGCCATCTTCAGGCTCTTCACCAAACCAGCAGGGAAATGCAGCCAGACAGGGCTGACGTCAGACTGGCCCCCAGTCAGGGGAATTTTCAGTGTGGAGAGCGGAGGCTGGGGGGTTGAAATCTGTCATTAAAGGAAGGCTCAGAGCTCAAGGTATCTTCCCTTCCAATTCAGGTTTCTTTGCCAGCCCTCCTGTCACTTCACACAACCCCACTTTAGTGGTTTCATTTTTAGCTTTCTGAAGTGGAATGGGTCTCACTTGTAGGATCCCACCACAAAGCGGCCCCTCAAAGGAATCCCCTCTCCTCCCACCTATAAAGCTGAATTTAAGGGTCCCTTGGGCATGTTCATGGATGGGGCTTCTTGGTCCAGGTCTGTGGGGAAGGGGAGGAGGGGTCAGGGTAAGAGGAAGCCAGAAGAGGAGTGTCCTAGAATACGGAATCAGCAGGATATTAAAAAGCCTAGTGCACACAGCCCCGTATCGGCAGCTCGGGTCTGTGAGCCTGCTACTGCACATGTACCTGCAGGGAGGGGCTGAGCATCAAGGCGGCACACAGCTCAATCCAGGCTGGCTGAAAAGAATCAAGAGGCATGTTAAATGTCCGCTCCACCCATCCACCCTTTCCCCTGGACTCCCCCCGGGGAGAGGAGTTGGGAAATATTAGGAAAACCTAACAGTTGTACTCTGAAAACTACAGGTCAGCTGATGTCAGACTGGCAAGAGGTTCTGAATGACCGGGCAGTTTCTGCACTGCCCATTCAGTCCCAGCAGGTGATTTCAGGGAAGGTTGTTTAACCCTTTAACAGCTCAGAGAAAAAGGTCTCTAGGTCGCCAGGGAGCCCTCCCACCACTATCTCCCACTGTCGCTGGGTTCTTTGTGACAACATCCCAGTTTAGGTCACTAAGCTCCAACCAAATACTATTGCTTAGAAAAGACTTTAAAAGGCGGGAGGAGGGAGGAGGGATGGCAGGGACTTGTCTTCCCTGTACCCTGCTGAGGAAGACTGTCTCTGCCTCTCTGCAGAGAATAAAGCATTTAGGCAGCTGGATTTGTCTGAGCTGACCTCTGGCCAGAACCTGTCAGAGATCACAAAAGAAAACAGCTGCGTTTCCTCACTGTGTCCTATCACCAGTTATCAGTTCCCAACCCTCTTCTCTTCTTCCACAACCAGTCAGCTGAACCCCAAAGCCGCAGTGCAAGGGTGAGTGGGAGAGGTCTTGCTGTACATATTAGCTCTGGGCTGTTCTAACCAGCTGCAAATTTGGGCTTTGATGTATTACCCTCATAATTGTTGTCTGCTCGGATTCCCCGAAAGAGAGATTATAGAAGTCAAGAGGGAGAAAAGAATGGGGCTAGAAGCAGCCAGTTCACTGCTGGGACATTTGGGGAGCTATTGGCCCACATCAAAGTTTGGGGGGTGGAGGAAACCTAAACCCCAGTGGAGGACCCCTCTCACTAACACCAAGATCGTTTTATTTATCTCACCACCCTCCACTAAAAAATGGGCTTATAATAATAGATTTTAGCTTACTCTTGGGATGAGGCAGGAAATGACTCCCCCTTCCCCCCACCAGAAAAAGAAAGACAAGGGAAGCCACTCTTCTGCAAATGGCCACCTGCCCCAGAAGGGCCCCTTCCCTCCTCCGCTAGATCCAGCACATCTGTGCTCCCTCCCCAGTGCCCTTGCTTCCTCCACCGACTGTCCTTGGAAAGAACAATCATGATCACAGCTGAACGGTGAAGCCTCTTAAACCCAGCCACATGTCCCGGATACATCCCCAGCCTTGTCAGCTGTCCGGATCTGCAGGGTGGCCCCAGGCTCCTGAGAGCCAAGAATCCTCCCGCATCATGCAACACCCTGCATCTCCCGCGGTGGCAGTGGCTTCCTTACAACCAGGCCATCCTACTAGGCGCCCAGCAGTACCAAGGGGTCCGGCCACTGCCCTGCACACTTGCTGGCTGCTCAGCCATAGCCCCTTGGGAGAGGTTTCTTCTCCCCACTCTGCAGATGCGGGGCCTGAGGCCCAAGTTTAGTACATTTCCTAGCCAGTCCCCTGCTCTGGCCGAGCCCCTACCTTGGTCTAGAAGATGTGATACCGTTTCCAGGATGTTGCCCTTCCTCACTTTCTTCCTCTGGCTTTTTTGAACAAGCAAAAATATATTTCAATGAGTCACTGCTTTCCCTTCTGTCAGGTAGACCCAGGTTGCCCGTGAGATGTAAGCTTGGAAGCTTCTCCACTCTTGCGATTCCTCCTTAAAAATCTGGTCATGTCAACATCCCAAATCAAAATTTCAACTATCGCCCTAGATCCAGAGGCTTTCCTCAAAAGGGACCTTCTACCTTGGTAGGGGCCGGATGACAGACACACTGGATTCAGAACCAAATTGAATGCCTTAACTTTCTAAGAACATTGAACTCCTCTGAAAAGAGGGGACTCCTTTCTGAACCTTCTGGTACTAACACCTGGGCCCTACTCAAGAGGATGACCTGGAGAAAGAAAAATGCTTGTGGGGGCCCAAAACTGCGGGCTGGAAGATGTCACACGAAGGGACTAACATAATAGCATCGGGAACTGGGAGTTCCACACATGTGATCCCAAAGGCTTAAACCCCAGAGCAACGTACCTCAAGGGCCACTTCTGAAGGTGTTAATGGGTGTTTTTTCCTCCCTTAATTTTAAAAATCACTGACTTTCAAATTTTGCACTGAAAGGCGGCCTTCATTTGTTATTCAAGTCAGCCAAACCTCTGGGCAGAGGCAACGTCAGGTTTACCAGAGTGGGGGATGGAATTCCAAAGAGCCTCATCTCTCCACCTATTCTGGAAGGATGAAAACAAAAATGACATCTGCGAGCTCCAAACGTCCCCAACCCCCAGCCCCTGCCCTGCTTTAACCAGGAATTATTCTAGTGCATGTTCTTTGTCGCCCCCCACCAAGCCCCACCAAAGTTTCAAGGAGACGCTGCCATCTCAGGAGGCAATCTGGGAAAGGTCATGGGACTAGGCAGGAGAGCATTTATACTCCACAAAAAGAGGACTGACCCCCCCCCCCCAGTTCAGAATCTGAAAGGGAAGATAACCAAGAGATGTCTTTACAGGTCTTCTTCATCCAAGCTGACCAACGTTTGTCCTTCAAGGTTTCAGCAGCCCATCACCAAAATGACCCCTACCCAGTACTGGCCGCAAAGCTCGGTTGGTCAGGGTGTACACTGCTCAGGTTAGGATTCGTCTGGAACCTTCTGGCAAGTGAGGACCTTCTCAAGGGCTGGGAAAGAGGAAATTCGATTTCATACTGGACATGTATCACCCTTCTTATGAGAGAAAAAGAGAGCTAGAGAGATGGGGTTGTGGGAGAGTCGATGGCAGCCCTCTCTTTCTTTCCTGGTCTGCCCCACACCCACTCACTAAGAAAAAAAAGATGAAAATTTCAGATGTTTAGGCTCCATTCGCGTGAAGATCCAGAGAACTCTAAACATTGTGAAATCACCAGTACAATTGGGTAGGGCATCAGGCCAGACCAAGCTTATTAAGAGATTGATAAACCTACATTTCCTAAATGCTGTGGGCCTTCACCGTCCAGCTCTGTATCCCCCAGAGGCTCAGAGAGCCTCGGTCAGCTAACCAGACAGACATGCACTTGCTGCCGCCCCTCCCTAAACTGGAGAGAATCATGCCACTGGTTTGGGAGCAAGAAAGAGGGGGTTCCCACTGGGTCTGGGCACCCCACTGAACCCAACCCACACCCTTCCTTTCAATACTAACCATGCTGGGGCCTCCCCGAGCTTGATGCGCCAGAAGGCAGCCTTCTGCCCTCAGCCAGGCCTGGCAATATGGATACCCATCCAGCAGCTGGTGATTGAGGCAGCCAGTAGTTCTCCCCTTTGCCCACCAAGCAGCCCTTCCAGCCCAGTTCGCTTCTCCCATACATCGCTGGGCCCATCAAGCCATGCAACCGTTTCCCACCCCTCTTGCATCCTCTGCCCACAACTCCCAGCCCCCAATCAAAGAGAATTGAGAAACCGTCTTCTTGCACAAGAGCAGCTACTGTCTAAATGCTTTTTGATCGTCTGCATGGAGGGGGAACTGGGCACAGCCCTGGCCCCAGTGATGGAGCCAAGCTCCAGCTGCCCTGCCTGGCCAAACCCGCCCTCACCCCCCCTTCATTGCCCCCGTAGCCTTGGCGATTCAGAATTTTCAGAACGTACCGTCTCTATCCTTTTCTCTTCTCAGTGATGTCAACCCTGGTACCACCAAGAAGGAAGGAGGGAAAGCGGGAGCCTTATCTCTCCTACGCACGCAACCTCTTCCTCCAGCTCCCACACGCCCGGCGTTATGTAAACGCACCTTCAGCCCCCACCACAGCCCCAGAGCGGCCCGGGGCCCCCGGGGCCTGGCACAGCTCGGTGCCCAGGGATAGGGAGATACGAGGAGGCCACGGAGCCTCGGGCCCTGCAGAGGCCGGGGAAGGGAAAGGCAACTGCAAGGCAGTTGCACAGCATAAAATGCGGCAGCAGAGCAAAGGTCAGACGGCGAGGAACCGCCTCGCCAAAGAAAGAGAGAGTAAAAATGCCCAGTCCCAGGCCAGCCCCGCGCTGACCATCGAGGGGGAGGCAAAAGGGAAGAAAACCCAGTCCGTCACGGCTCCAGGTGGGAACGCAAAACCTACGTCGAGCATAGGCCGCTGCTGCGGGCTGGGGAGATCTACGGCAGAGCTGGCACCGTGGGCAGCGAGCCCGGGGTGGGCGAGCCGCCCAGGGGGAGGGCGCCCGCCAGACCCAAAAGGTGACTCCTGAAGGAGCCCAGAGCCTCCTATTCCAGCGCCCGAGGCGAGTGGTGGCAGGAAGAAAGAGGCCAAGCCAGAGGCAAACTCCCGGGACACGCTCGGGGCTTCCGACACTCAGAGAGCGGGGAAACCCGGCTTGGCAATGCCCGGGGGTCGGGAACGCCGGTGCCAGGCTGTGAACACCCCGGCGCCGTGCCGGCCCAGCCGAGGGCGTCAGGGAGCTGCGGCGCACCGCAGCGGCTCCAGGAGGCGCAAGGAGAGGGAAGGAACACTGAGGAGCGCCTAGAATTAGCGCACCATTTGCCCTAGCCCGAGGGGGAGTCGCTTCGCGGCTCCGTGGAGGGCAGCTTCACATCCCGAAACCGGCCAGGGACTTACTTTGAGGAGACGCAGAGTCACAAGCATTGCTCTGCTTCTGTGTAAATCCCCGAACCCGAGCGGGTCAGACGCCGCGGTCCTAGCAGACGCCGGCTGGAGGAACCCGCACGGTTCCCTGCGCTCCGCAGCGCCAGCTCCGCGCTGTCAGCTCCTCTCGCTGCCTCCGCGGCGGTGTTGCAACCACTGCCTGGGAAAATGGCTTTTTTATGAATGGGAGGGAAGGGCGCTCCAGGGCGCACGCGCGCCGCTCGCGATTCTATGAATGGGTGGGCACAAGAGACCCCGCGCGCGCATGCGCCGCGCTCCTTTTTTTATGAATGGGGGGCCGGAAAAGAACTTAACCCGTGATTGCTGGGGCTGGCTCTCGCTCCTCCAGGGACCGTCGTTCTTTTACAAAGAGGGGTGAGGTTGTTGTTGCCTTTTTTTTTTTTCTTTTATGAATGGAGGGCGGCGGCGACTGCTGCAGCTGGCTCAGCTGCGCGGGCTGTACCCCCTCCCAGGCTACGAGAGGAGGTAAAGGCCACCTTCACGCCACTGCGGGCCTGGGCTGGAACCGTCAGTGTTGCTGGGGGGCGGGGGGCACTGCGGCCTCGGACCCTGGGCTGAGAGCCGGGTGGGAGAGGACACACCTAGATCTAGGGATCTCTACCCGCTGCAGGCAGTAGGGAAGACGGGCAGGGGGAACGGGAAGACCCCTGCTGGGGGCCTTCTCTTTCTCTAGACTAGGGGCGTCGGGGGGAGGGGTCTTGAAGTCGTGTTTACCAAAAATTAAGAAAATGTCAAACGTTCATATCAAAGAAGGGCGGAGCGGGGGTTGCTGAATGAATCTGGTTCCTTTCCTGAGTCTCCCTGGAGTGAGTGCAGACCACCCCTCCCCCCATTTCTTGGGTGTGGACGACGACAGTGCCGAGGCCTCTTCCGGCTCCAGTACCCCCCGGGGCGATACTGGCTACTCGGCGAGAGACCCGGCTCTCGCTTGGCAGCGCCCTCCTTCCCCACCCCTCCACCCCCGCCCCAATGTAACGTCCGCAGTGCCCCGGCGTCCGCCCGCCCTCTACTGCCCTGGCTAGTGCTCCCCTCTCCACCCCCTTGCTTTTCCCAGCCCTCACAGGACATGGGCCTGAGGAGCCTCTGTCTACCGTAGGCCACGGCCCTTTGCTGCTGTAGGCGCCTCTCCCCAGCCATCCCGGCTAGCGCCCCTCCGGGGAAGCGGGAGCGGCCGAGAACTGGCCAGGTGGATGGGTGGAGCCGGCTGCACCGAGGATGCTGCCGGGGTGGCCACGGGATTAAATAACAACAGGGCTCTTGAGCCGCAGAGGAAATGGAAATGGCCGGGATCTTTTCTTTGCAGTTAATGATGGGGCGGCGGGGGCGGGGGGGAGCGCATCAGCCCTGGCCCGTGAAAAGAAAAGCCCCCGCCATTAGGCCTGACTCCGGGAAGGCGAGGAGCCCTCGCAGCAGGCCCAGCCCCGCCCAGGAACGGAGGAGGCTGTAGCCTCCGGGGAGTCCTGGGTAGGGGGTGGCTTTGATGCGGGGATGAGAGCTGGGTCAGGGCCTGAATCCCCTGTGAAGGTTTGTCTTGCTGGTGTTCTCGCTTCACCGGGAAGTTGTGAGGCTGTCTTTTTCTTACTACGCCACATAGGACTGCGCTTGGCTGTTGTCAGTGGAGCCGATAAAAGGCTTCGAGCCCAGGCCAGAGGTCTGGCCTTGGGCAGGAGCTGGGGCTGGGGCTCTGAAGACAGGCAGCGGGAGGGACATTTTGCAAAGCCAGACCAGAACCCACGGTCACCGGGTCTAGTCTAAAATGGCTTCTCGCTACTCAAACGCACCTTTGCAGTGTGATTTACTTACTCAGCTCCTGGAGGGCAGACAGGCCCTCCCCTATGAAACCCCAGCCTTCCTTTCAGGACCAAGACCTTACAAAAAGCTTTGAGAAAAACTCTTTACTAGGACAACAGACTGTTTTACTGTTGTTCACGTCTTCTCTTTGCAGATATGAAAACTCAGTATCATTATTCCTGTTTGTCAGATGTAGAAATTGAGGCTAAGGATCCTGCACCTGATCAATGAAAGAGCTAACTGAGGTGCTGTTTTTCTAGATCTTTACAACCCAGATCTTTCTGCTTTGCTGCCACCTCCTCTCCACATCACAAACCTGAAAACTTGTTTCTTGCAAGACACTGAAGCATGTTAAGCAAGGAAAGTTGGATCTGTAATTTTCCAGGCAGTGGTGGCTTATGGGCTTTTCTCGAACAATGAAAATGATGGGAATAAACAAATCCTTACTAAACTATGGAAGAAAGTCAAGATGGGGTCAGGCGGTGGGGGTGGGGTGTTGCTGTTCGCTTTCCTTTATTAGAGGAATTAGCCAAGAGATAGTGTTCCTTCCATTCCTGGTCTTTTCTCAGTTTTCCTGAAGGAGGAATGAGGAGCCCCAGCTCGGGTGGGGATGGTGGGACCATGAAAGGAGCCCCCAGTCTCGAGCTGGGAGGGGCCTCTGATGTCTGAGCAGATGACTCAGTGTCTGGGAGGGCACTGGGGACCATATTCTCTTCCTACTTGGAACCTAAAGAGAAGAGAGGTTTGGGGGCAACTGTT